CACAGGTCGAGCTCCAACGCGCGAGTTCTGCCAGTGGCCGAAACAAACTCCGCCAAAGGTTGGTCGCTGGCCTGGAGCTGTTCCCGGTGTTCTGCCAGGGACTTGAGGTCCTGGACGTTGTCCCGGACGAGACCGTGGTTGAGCTTGCGGTCAAATTGGCGCAGCTTCTATGGGAAGTGCTACGGGGAGCCGATCTCGACTATGAAGCTTGCCTGTGTGTGTGACGGTGCCATCGCCACTAGCATTGGGTACCCCAAAGCCTCCTGCTCGAGCAGCTTCAGCCAGGCCCGTGCCTCTGGCATCTGCTTGCAGTGTCTGAAGAGAGCAGGGCTGCCCCGAACAGTTCTTCGCTCTCTCCTGGACCTCTTTTCGGAGCTCTGCTGCTTCGCGGTGCGACCGAAGGGCATCCAGGCTCAGTTTCCGGTCCTTTGCCCCGGTGTCCTGTCAAAGAAACAAGCACTCTTCGTGCTTACGGAACGGCAGCTCGTGCGCGCGGAGTAGGTCGTCCAATTTCCCCGCGCTGGCGGCGTAGGGCACCCTGGCCACAGTCCAAGCGGGCGCGTAGCTCCCCGCGGTGTAGAGGTCTCCGTCGCGCACGGCAGACCTGTAGCATCATGTGCAGGCAGTGGTTTCCCTTCTGGTTCGTCTCTAGCGTGGCGCACCAGAAGAGAGCCCTCCAAAAACGGCAAGCCGGGCGTCCACGAGGCTTGCGAGCCTCTTCCAGCAAACGGAACCAGGACATGCCCCTGCACGTCAGCAGCACACCCACGGACCGAAAGCGCAAGCCCGCGACGTTCTCCCTCCCCCCCTGGGCGCGCCCCCCTTGAGACACCGGCGTCTCGGGCGGGCGGCAAGGGAGGGTGACCAGAATGAGGGGGTGAAGAACCGGGCCCGAAAGGGGCCTTGCAGGAGGAAGGAGGAGGAGGAGGAGGAGGAGGAGGAGGAGGAGGAGGAGGAGGAGGAGGAGGAGGAGGAGAGGAGGAGGAGGAGGAGGAGGAGGAGGAGGAGGAGGAGGAGGAGGAGGAGGAGGAGGAGGAGGAGGAGGAGGAGGAGGAGGAGGAGGAGGAGGAGGAGGAGGAGGAGGAGAGGAGGAGGAGGAGGAGGAGGAGGAGGAGGAGGAGGAGGAGGAGGAGGAGGTGGAGGAGGAGGAGGAGTAGAAGGAGGAGGAGGAGGAGGAGGAGGAGGAGGAGGAGGAGGAGGAGGAGGAGGAGGAGGAGGAGTGAGGAGGAGTGAGGAGGAGGAGGCCCATTTGGGCGACCCCCCCAGGCGCCGCCCGCCCGAGCGCCGCGGTCGCCCTCCTCCGGCCATCTCGCCTTCCCTTCCCCTATGCCGCCTCCTTCGCCCTCGCGGCCCCTCTGCGCCCGCTTCGATCGCCCGTCTCCTCGGGCGTCGTGTGGGCGTTGCTCAAGGCTCAAGTCGGGCACGTCCCTTCGGCGGCACCCCAACATACTAATACCATGTGTGCGTCGCCCCCAAGGGGCCTCGTGCGCACAGAGAAATCTTAGAGTAGATTCGTCGTGGCGGGCGCTTTCTGGCCGCACCTCTCGGGAAGCGATCCACTACAAGATGGGTATACTATATGTTCGGGTCGGACGCACGCCTCCAAGGAGAAGATATAGTACTACAACCCTTGTCAACATTAACTTCAAAAACGTCTTACGTGGCTGAACTGTTTGTGGGGAGATGCTGGACATAGTAGCGGTGACTGCGAGGTACTTGTATGCGCCGCCCCTCCAATGTCGGTCATGATCGAACTTCCGAGTCGTTACCGGTCAGACCACTTTTGCCCTGGCCCCGATTTTGGAGGGGCGTCTATCGACATTGGAGTGCGCGCCGACATCGCAGGGGCGTGGTCGCCATTTTTGAGATTAAATTTGATGAGGGTAATAGTACGTCCTTGTGCGCCCCATCCCTCTACAGGAGGAATATTCAAGAATAAGCAAATTAGTCTTTAGACGATTGTTCTACTAGCGTTGGCCCCGACCTATTTTTTAAACTTAACTTGCTTTGACTATCTTTAAGTTCTCGTCGAACACCCGCCTGCAGGAGGACATGCCCGACCTAATTCAAGGGGAGTCTGGTCCTCCTCCTTGCCGCTGCGGTCGGGGCGAGCCCTCCTGGACACCTTCCGGTGGGCACCGCTCACCTCCGCGCCCGGCGCATCGCTCGCCCAGGTCAGCACGACGCCGCAGGCGGCAGCGAGAGGTCGAGGGAGGCTCACAAAGGCCCGCTCGGCCGGGTCGCTTGCGAACGGCATGCTGCGACGCAACTCACCAGCTGCTCCTGTTGTCAATTAGTAGGCCCGCGCCCTGGACTTACGACTCGCCGCTTGCGCTCTCGCCTGCGGCCGCGACCCAAAAAAAACAACTCACCAGCTGCACGGCGCCCACAGACTCCGCAAATCAATTTTGGACCAACATGGATACGGAGTTGCGCATGTGCGGACAGGTTTGGCCGCAACGTTGAACAGAAGCTTCCCTGGGCACTCGCAAGACCCGAAGATGGCCCAAACCGATGCTAAGGCGGGACCACGGCACCAGAGCGCTCCCAAGATGGCCCCAAGGCACCAAGACCCGACAAAGCGGCAGGTTCGTGTCGAGACGACCCTGGCGATGGTTTGCGGCACCGCGTGGTTCGTTCAACCTCGCACGATCGGCAGCTTTCCGATCGCCAGATCGTTCCATACTGCCGATGCCACTGGCGGCGGTCAACCTTGAACGCCCGCGGCGGGGTCGCCGCGGCATGCACGCGGGGCGAGCCCAACATACCCTCAGGGCGACCCCCAGATGGCCAAGTGATCCGCATATGATCTCGATGTGGCTTCCGGCAGGCCGCTGGGCAACCCAAGGCGGCCACAACATGTATGCAGCGGGCGATCAGGAGATGCCTCAAGGACCATGCGATGGCCCTCAAGCGGCACGGCCCCGATGCGCTCGCCAAGATGGCCCCAAGACACCGCCACAACGAAATCACGCCGCTAGATTTGCATAGAAGACAGAACTCCCTAGACCACCTGCATCCTACAGGGCTGGCGGGATTGCTGGATTTGCATGCCGCCCGGGACTTGAGGGAGCCACGTTTTTCATGATGGGATATGTTCGTTCTTGAGGTATTGTATGGTTTGCTTGCATCAGGTGGGCGGGATCTCGGCCAGACCGCCGGACCAGCAAAGACGCGGGGGGCAGGGGTGACGGGCCGATGCTTCCTGGTCAAGGGCCGGACCTCAACGGGGTTTGGGCGATTTCGTGGGCCGTTCTCGGTTCGCTTTCGTTTTGCGGTACAGGCGGAGCGAAGACACGGCGGGGGAAAACGAACACAGAACAATAACGAAAAACACCGATTAGGTTCAGCCCTGTCCTGGTCCCTTGTCCACCTCAGGACTGCCGTCACACGGTGAGCCCGCGCCTGTGAGCAGAGTGCGCGTGCGGGCGCACCAGCAAAAAGAGCCCGGCCAGCCTGCGGAGCGGCGACGCAGCGTCTCCAAGAGGCGCCTCGGGCAGCTCGTAGGGTGCGAAGCCAATTCTTATACATACCACCGCCCGCAACAGTAATTTACCGCAAAAATGGCTAGGGGCAGGGTCATGCCAGACGACGCTGCGACGCCACGGCGAAAAGGAGCGCGGCGCAGCTCGCAGGCGCCGTGGCATTGGGAGCTCCTGAAGCAGAAACAGCACGTCTTGGTGGTGTCGTATAAGAATCGCACCTCTTGGCAACCAACATTTTATACACCACCACCGCGCGTGCTTTGATGAATTCTGTTTCGGTCCTTAAGAGAGAGAGGGGGTAGCCCGGTTGCCGTTGGCGGCGGGAGGGGGACTGCGGGCCTTTCACCAGAGCAAAACTGCACCAAATCGCATCGCATAGTATTCTCGATCTTGGTGGTGGTAGTCATATACTGTGCTCGGATAGGGTCCCCCCTCCTTCTCCCCTCTCCTCATACGGATTTTCTGCAATCCTGGAAAGGATGACTCTAGGCCTCCTGGATGGGGTCGGAGGATGGCGCGGCATCGCCGATGCATCGGCGATGCGGCTCGATGCGGAGCCCGACTTGCTTCATGTCGACGTCGATGCATCGCTAACGTCGACGATGCATCGCCCTTGCATCGCCCTTGCATCGCCGATGCATCGACGATACGTCGCCGATGCATCATCGATGCATCGGCGATGCGGCGCGATCCTCCGACCAAATCTACTCGGACCCCATCTAGGAGGCCTCTAATGTCGCGGGGCAGGGCAGCCAATCATCTCACACCCTTTCGCAGTCCTAGCCAGCGGGGGTCGGCGAACTCCCCAGCGCCGTCCCGTGGAAGTTCACTGCACAGTCGTGTGGACTCAGCTGCACATAGCGCGGTGGGTACAGCGCTGAACAACAGCATCAGCACCTTCATCATTATCATCATCATCATCATCATCATCATCATCATCATCATCATCATCATCATCATCAGCATCAGCATCAGCATCAGCATCAGCATCAGCATCATCATCATCATCATCATCATCATCATCATCATCATCATCATCATCATCATCATCATCGTCATCATCATCATCCTTACATCATACGCAACAGGGCGGCCCCCCGCGCTCGCAAGTCCAGCGCCTCGAGCCATGCCAGGGTGCATCGACGACATCCTACTTATCGCCTGCATAGGCGGCGGGGGCGCCTATGAGGCAGCTAGGCAGCAAGATCGTTCACGTCGGGCACGTCTGAAGCTGGTGAACAGGCTAGCGATCGACAACAGGCTGAGCATTAGAATCGGTGGGAACGTGGCGTTCACGGGCAACACGAGCAGCCAATTGCCTCCTGGCGCCGACTCTAACGCGGTGGCTGCCCTGAGGGAGGTGGAGGAGTACGTGTCGGCGTATAGGCCGCCCGCCCTTTCACTCCTCGACCCCACTGGGTGCGCCCCAAGTCGAAGAAGAGAACACGCCATAAACATAAACTCGTGGCGCTCCGCGCGGATTTCTTGGATCCGCGCCTGGGCCCCCCTGGCGGCGCCTCCGGCGCCGCCCCTGGCGCGCGAGGGGGGTCCAGCGCAGATCCAAGAATTCCGCGCGGAGCACCACAAGTTTATGTTTATGCCGTTTTTTCTCCTTCTGCCCCGACTGCAGCTGGGCCCCTGGCGAGTCGGCGGAAGTGCGAGCGGCGGCGACGCCCAGAAGGACGAGGCGGAGCCGCTGCTCTTCGACGAGCTGAAGCGGTGGCTGCTCCTCGCCGCCTCCGGGGCGGCCAGCGTGGAGGACGTGGCCGCCCGGCTCGAGTTCTATCGGCAGCTCCTGATGGTGCCGGAGGCCTTTCGTTCGGTAGCAATGCCTGAGAGCTTGGTACACTCGCAGTCCTAGAGATTGACACCAACACCAAGATCGGCGGTGTGCCTCCACCGAGGGAAGTCGTTCCCGATCTCGGTGATGGTGGTAATATTCTGGCTTCCAAGGTGACCGAAATATTACCACCCACACCGAAATCTAAGATCATAATCTCCCTGTGGAGGCAAACCCCTGCGCTGGTGTTGGTGCCAATTTCCAGGCCTCCAATACACCTTTTTAATTCTGATTTTAGCGTCGGTGAGCGCCTTGGAGTTGACGAGGTAGCGCCGATTTAGCGTCGATGAGCGTCGATTTAGCGTCGATCAGCGTCGATTTAGCGTCGATTAGCATCGATTCGCAAGAGCCGACAAGATGCTGTGGGAGGCTCCCATGAGTTGCCCCCGAACCTTTCGGCTTGAAAGAAGTGGGTCCAGAGGGAATCGGCATACAGTGCCGTTTTTGATACATTCTCCGCGTGCGGGTCATGTATCAAACATGCAGGGATTCAGTATTGAAAACAACGATGAGTTCATGATAAATTGATTCACACATCCGATATGTATAAAAACAAATCCTATGTGTTAAACAATGCCCTGTACGAAGGTTCTTCGCCTGTGGGGCCACCTGGGGCCCTCCGCCGGCTCCAGGACTGTCAGAGAGATGTTCGGGATGAGGAGCTGGTCACCACCCACCAAACCACCCCAACCCAACCCGAAGGCTCAGATGTACCCTCGATTTCTAGTGGGGGGGGGTCGGGAAACATAGAAAAAACACGTGTGGAACCCCCCAACCCGAAATTCGGGTCTTGGGTTGGGTTGGGGTGGTCTGGTAGGTAATCAGCTGGCTCACGGGGCAGGCCCCGGGTTCCAGGGCACGTTTCTTAGGAGGAACATCCTGGAGGCCTCGCGCGGCGCGTTGTCTAGTCTACACGTCAGCTCCGTGAGCTATGGGTCGACGTTTGCGCGGCGATGCTCCGGCGTCAGTCCGGCGTAAATCCGACGTGAACCCGACGTACATCCGACGTGGATCCGACGGAACTCGGGTCTCAAGTTGCCGCCCGAGGTCTCCAGGATTTTCTTCAGAACGTTTCCCCTTGGCATCGCTCGGACGTGTGCATTTTTTTTCTCGGCGAGGACCATCGAAGAGCATCCTGGAGCATCGAGCAACAGCAAAAAAAACACGCACAAACCCGAAAGACACGCACAGGGAGTGGACGTCCGAGCGCCGGCGAGGCTGCCGCGCGAGATCTCCAGGAGTTTCTTCAGAACGTTTTTCCCCCCGGGCCGAGATTGTGGTTGTTGGCGACGCGGTGCCTTTGTCGTGGACGCCCTCGGCCGGAGGCCGAGAAAGTAGTTAGAGGTGTTGAAACAGCCGGCCAGACGTCGCCTTAAGCCACATCCAGCTGGAGGCAGAAGCAGTGGTGAAGGACCACAGCCAAGAAGAGTCGCCAACTCAGCCTAGCCAGCTCGCCTACTCAGCCTACCCGCGCCGAGGTCCTGTCGGAGGCCGCCTTCCGGCGGACCGTGGCAGGGGTCTGCCGGCACCTGGACGCGCTCCTGGAGCGCCGCTGCGGCGCGCTGCGCACCTGCGCCTCGCAGATGGGGCTGCTCCAGGAGCGGGGGCGGACAGGACTCCCACCCTGACACGTCGACTCGTGAATTGTCCGTTTTCGGCCCTCGAGAGGGCGCCGCGGCTGTCCCTTTCCAGGCCTGCGCCCGCCAGGTTTGGGCCCGAGAGGTCGTTTTCACTGAGCCACGTTTTGCTAAAGGGGGCTCTGTCCATCCCCAACAGGAGGCGGGGCGGGACCTGCTGAACGCCCTGCTGCCCGTGCTGCTCTTCGCCGTCACGGACGTCTTCGACGCCCAGCGTTAAGTCGGGCGTGTCCCTCTACAGGAGGAGTGTTCAGAAATAGTCCAGAAATAGTCAGGGGACGATTTTTTAGTTCGGTTTGGTTGTGTTTGCGCATTGTTTAGTTATCAGAGTGAGGGGGCCGAACGGTCATTCATTGTCCCTGGGTGCGTGGCTGAATAAACAATCGTGGTGATAAGTATGATTGCTGCGTTGTTGTTGTTGATGTTGGTGTTGCTGTTGTTATTGTTGTTGTTTATGCTGTTGCTGCTGCTCTTGTTGTTGTTGTTGTTGTTGTTGTTGTTGCTGTTGCTGTTGCTGTTGCTGATGCTTCTGCTGTTGCTGCTGATGTTGTTGCTGGTATTGGTTTTGCTGTTGGTTGTGTTGTTGTTGATGGTGTGGTTGTGGTTGCTGTTGTGGTTGTTGCTGCTGCTGTTGCTGGTGCTATTGTTGTTATTGTTGTTGGTATTGCTGCTGTTGTTGTTGGTGTTGTTGTTGTTGTCGTTGTTGTTGTTGCTGTTGTTCTAATTGCTGGGGGTGTTGGTGTTGGTGTTGGTATTGGTGTTGTTGTTGTTGTTGCTGGTGTTGTGGTTGTCGTTGTCGTTGTCGTTGTTGTTGTTGCTGCTGCTGTTGCTGCTGTTGTTGTTGAACATTATTAAACATTATTAATTCTAAAGAATAATTATTGTTGGGACCCCTGGTGCACGGCCCCCCCGCCGCGCCTAGGCCGCAGCTACATTTTCATCATTTTTTCGCGAAAGTTTCAGAAAAGTGGATGGGGTCCAGATCCGGTTGTTTTGTTGTAATCCGTTTTCCCTTGCAAAAAACACTATAAAATGACATTTCTTGTTCTAATATAATCAAATTTCAAGAATCCCTTGCAAAAAATAAGGTAAAGTGGACATTCGCGCGCGCAAGACGAAATCCTTCCAAAAGCTTAGTGTTCGGAGCGATTTTAACATAAAAACATCAAAAAACCAATGGTTTTTCAACAAAAAAATGTCAAAATCTCATCCCGCGCGCTCTTGCGGATTCGTAGGAAACCCAACACTTTTTAAACATTTCTGTCAAACGGGCTTTTGCGAGCAACTTTTTCGAACTTCTGCGACAACGGTTGCGCACCTGCCAGGGCCATCATCCCTGTCAAATAATACCATGCGGGACACATTCGTTTTTTCTTCGCGCGCGCACGCCGTCGTCGTCGGCCGCGGGGCCCTGAATAGTAGCCACGGTCGTCCGCATGCCACGAAGTGAAGTGTCCGAACGTCATAGGGCGGGAAGCTGGGTGTGGGTGGTGGCGAAGAGTCGTTTGGAAATTTGGTAGAGCTTGAACCGGCCCCCCCACAAAGTGGGGGTATTGCCCGCCTCCTATGAAAACCCTGGCACTGGTGAGAACGGAGTGTCCCCACGTGCTAGTAATTGTTGCTGTTGTTGTTGCTGCTGTTGTTGTTGCTGTTGTTGTTGTTGTCGTTGTTGTTGCTGTTGTTGGTGTTTGTTGTCATCCCACCGGCGACCCACCCGCGACCCACCCCCTGCGACCCACCCCGCGACCCACTCCGCGACCCACCCCGCGACCCACCCCGACCCAACCCGCGACCCACCCGCGACCCACCCCGCGACCCACCCGCGACCCCCCCGCGACCCACCCCGCGAACCACCCCGCGACCCACCCCGCGACCCACCCGCGACCCACCCCGCGACCCATCCGCGACTCATCCGCGACCCACCCGTGACCCACCCCGCGACCCACCCGCGACCCACCCCGCGACCCACCTTCAAGGGAGGAAAAAACACCCGGAACCGACAATTGACGTTTACTAAAACGGCACTCGGCGTTGACTAAACATCCCTGTCCTGTTCGATTCATTCCTTGTGTGCGTTTACTGAACGGCTTCGCTTGTCGGGGTGATTATTATGGTGTGGATGTTCTGCCCTCTACACCCGCGACCCAACAGCGACCCACCCGCGACCCATTTGCGACCCCCCCGCGACCCACCCCGCGACCTACCCGCGACTCAACCAGGACTTCCCCTTGCAAAAATCGGCGCCTGCGGCGGGCTCGTTGTATCATTTGCCAAACCTTGGCACCTGCGGCGGGCTTCCCCGGAGTCTCGCAACGATTGCCGACGTTCCCACCGCCCCCTCGCTCTCGTCCGCATCTGCGGGGTGCTGCGTTATTTTTCTTTGGGTGGGGGAAGACAAAAAAAAACGCCTGCTGGAGGACATGCCCGACCTAAGCCCAGCGGTTCTGCCACATCACCGCGGAGCGCCTGCGCGCGTCCGCCGCGCGCTCCCTGGGCGCCGCGGCGGCGGCCGGGCCGGCGGCCGCGGCAGGGGCCCCCGACGGCTTGGCGCGCCTGTGGGAGGCCGACGCGGGGCGCCTGCTGCGCGGGCTGCTGCTGTCCGAGCACTGCCGCGAGTTCTGCGCGGGCGGGGCGGCCGGTGCCGTCGCGCTGCCGCTCGGCCAGACCTTCCCGGACGTGCAGGCAGATCTGGATGCAACTCCTGGGAGGTCGGACTCTGATGTTCGCCCCTGTCCGAAAGACGGTGTCATCCAGCGTAATCCTGCTGAATCGGGCTTGATCCCGCTTAATGCCGCTTGATGCGGCTTAATCCTGCTTGGTCCGAGGCCCACTCGTAACAGCTCCCAACTGGGGCTGAATCCTCCTTAATCTTTCCGACGAAAACCTCCCAGTAGTTGCCTCCTAAGGTAGAGCTGTTTCACGACTGGATGGACAGGGCGGATCAGGGCAGGAGCCTGCAGCGCAGTGGCCTGCACGTGCGGTTCCAGAGGGACACGGACATGCAGCAAAGGTACATCGACCTCTGTAAGGGCGTTGACAGCTACATCAAGTTTCTGTCGTTGGTCGGTCACTTCAAGAGGCTCGCGAACATCGATGGAGACGCTGGCATGTACAGCGTGAGGGATGCGCTGCACCACCTGCTGCAGGAGATCGAAACCGTCGCGATGACGATAGCCCAGTCGGCCGCGAACATCATGGAGGATGTAAAGAAGCAGGTCACGGACTTGGTCATATGAGTCGACCTTTGGCACACCCCGCCACCGTGCCTGGGTTGTTTGCCAGAGGCCTCTTGGGGGGCATATTGCATTTTGGTTGAGTTGGGAGTATGGGGGCCCAAGGAGCATTTACTACAACCGACATTGAGGACTCCCAGCGTCAGCGCTCCACTCAGTGCCTGCGGCACGGTGGCGGATCCAGGGGCAGTGACGACCATGCGCGCTGGATCGAGAGGCTGACGATGATCGACGAGCTTGAGCAGCGCGTCAGCCTGCAGCGCCTGCTGACGCTGGTCCAGGAGCTGCGACACCGCAGCTCCGAGGCCCGCCTCCCCTCGCTGCGGAGCAGTGCCAGGCCAGGGACCACTCCGATCCGACCGATCCGACTCGCTGCCGGCTCCAGCCGGCTCGATCCGGTTCGATACCGATGCTCTGGCGATGCGGTGCAGCCCGATGGTGGCGTACGCGCCGCCGTGCAGCTTGACGCGACAGATCCGATTCGAGTCCGACCACGTGCCGATGCTGCCCGATCCGACCCGAGGGTGAGCGTTTCTGTTGCCGCCCCAGGGTGTCGCTCGTTACCAAGGCCAAACCTCCCCCCCAGTAACGCTAGCGATCCTCCTTGGGAGGGGAGCTTGACCCCCCTCCCCTACATGCTGTGGTGCACACGGGCGATTGATGCGCCCGTGGCGCGGACGCACCTTGGCGGGTGCCCGCCGCGTCCGCCGTTACCAGTACTCTCAGGAGGGGAGAAAAAACATAGACACAACTATTCGTCGATTCCCCAGAAAGTATGCGAAAATGTGGGAAGTGGGGGGGAAGGCAAAAACCCAGAAAGTATCGGACAATATGGGGAATCCTGTTATTGGTGTCTATTTATGTGTGTGTCCCAGGGCCCCTTCAGTCACCATTACCCTCCCGCCCGAACCCCACCTTCCCCTTCCCCACCTCTCTGTCGTGGTCCCGGGGCCCGCGCCTGGGCGAAAACGCCCCCCCGTGACCCACACTGCAGCGCCCAGAGCTCAGGGCACCCGATTCGAGGACGGAGCCTGCCAGGCTTAAGTCGGGCCTGTCCCTCTACCGGAGGAGCACTCGAAAGTGATCCAATTTCGAGTATTCTTATTATTCTTCGTGTACGTTTACTCTTTTTTCCATTTGGGAGGCATTTTCGGGGTACTTTTTATTTTTTTCACCCGAAATCCCCCTGTATGGGGGACACGCCCGACTGAGTGCCAGGCGCAACCTCGAGCAGATCTTGAGCGACTCCGCCTCCGAGGGCTTCCGCGCGCGCTGCGCGGAGGAGCCCCCCGCGCTCGCCGGCGGCGGCCTCGACTGCCTGCGGGCCGGCGCCCCGGTCGTGCAGGACGGGGCGCCCGCGCCGGCGTGGTCGGTGGAGTGGCACTTCCGGTTCCAGGCCTCCGAGGCCCGATGGAAGGGGAAGCTCAGGAGGGGAAGAAGGCACATACACAGACACAAGGAATCGCTGATTCCCAGGAAAGTATACGCCAAAATATGGGAAGTGTGGCGGGGGGGGGAGCTTGACCCCCCCCTACATGCTGTGGTGCACACGGGCGATTGATGCGCCAGTGGCGCGCGCGGACGCACCTTGGCGGGTGCCCGCCGCGTCCGCCGTTACCACTACTCTCAGGAGGGAAAGAGCACACAGACACAATGAATCGTTGATCCCCAGGATATATGTATTATATATTATATTATAAAATATATATATATTATATATGTGCGAAGATGTGGGAAGGGGGGGGGGGCAGACGAACACCCAGAACATATGTGGAAATGTGGGGAGTCCTGTTATTATTAGTGTCTATCTCTTTGTGTGTCCCAGGGTCCCTGCAGAAAAACGCCGCCATGCGGGCCTGCGGGTGCCGAGGGAAGCGGGTCCCGAGGTGTGTTCCGCCGTCCTCCCGCCCGATCGGGGCCCTCCGCGGGCCCGCGGGGCTGGCAGGCAGGCAGCTCCGGACGGAGAGCTGGTCTTCGGGGGAGGGCCCCCGGGGTCCATGAACAGGGGGGAAAAAAAACACACAGACACAGTTAATCGTCGATTCCCCAGAAAATATGGGAAACTATGGGAAGTGGAGGGGGAAGACAACAAGCCAGAACATATGGACAAATATGGGGAATCCTTTTATTTGTGTGTATTTCTTTGTGTGTGTCCCAGGGCCCCTTCACATGACCCGTTTCCCCGAGGACCAGTTCAGATTCAGCCGAGACTGACGAGGTAGCGGCCACCTTGGGCCCAGGAGGGGCTCTGGCCTGAGGGCATGGGCGATGGGCCCAGCTTCCACCACCACTGCCCTAGGTAGGA